AAGCTCCCTTCCTATGGGCTTCCCGAGAAATTGTGCGATTGGAGATCGGAGCATCAAGGTCGTTGTAGACGGTGCAAGCTCCGATTGCAAGCCTATTAATGCTGGTGTTCCACAGGGCTGCGTGCTATCGCCAACGCTTTTTTCTTCTGCATATCAATGATATGTTGCAGACCCGTAACATTCATTGCTATGCAGATGACAGCACTGGTGATGCTCTTTACACCGGCCGAGCCAATATTTCTCGGGAAAACGTCTCCGAGTGCCGGGACAAACTTGTGTCTGAAGTCGAGTCTCTGCTGGACAGAGTCTCGGATTGGGGGCGACTAAATCTAGTCCAGTTTAACCCCCAGAAGACACAAGTTTGCGCGTTAACCGCTAAAAAGAACCCCTTTGTCGTATCCCCTCAGTTTCAAGGCACTCCCCTTGTTGCCTCAGCCAGTATCGGAATCCTCGGCGTCGACATATCGAGTGACGTACAGTTTCGTGGTCACTTGGAAGGGAAGGCCAAATTGGCCTCTAAAAAGCTTGGCGTGCTCAGCAGAGCGGGACAGTATTTCATGCCGGCACACCGCCTGCAACTTTACAAGGCGCAGGTTCGGCCGCACATGGAATACTGTTCCCATCTCTGGGCTGGGGCTCCCCAGTACCAGCTCCTTCCACTTGACCTCATCTAGCGCAGAGCGGCTCGAATCGTCGACGACCGAGTGCTTTCCGATCGGCTCGATTCTCTGGCACTGCGAAGAGATGTTGTATCCCTTTGCATTTTCTTTCGCATATACCATGGAGAGTGCTCTGAGGAATTGTTCGGATTAATCCCAGCCGCCAAATTTCGTGAACGCACTACGCGGCAAACGTCGCGATACCATCCACACCATCTGGATGCTTGGCGGTCCACCACTGTACGTTTCAAAAGGAGTTTTCTTCCGCGTACAACCTCTCTGTGGAATAATTTACCACCAGCGATTTTTCCGGACCGATACGACCTGGGGACCTTCAAGAAAAGAGCTTACTCCTTTCTAAAGGGCCGGCAACGCATCTGCAATTCCCCTGGTGTTGCAGTTGATCATGGGCGGCGGTAGTCACTTAACATCAGGTGAGCCACATGCTCGTTTGCCCCCTCTTCTATAAAAAAAATACTTAGGACAGTCAATAACACTACAAGCTATTTTAAGAGAAACATACAAAAGTAAATCATAGTTGTGTAGCAACCCATCAATATCTCACTTAGAGCTACCAAAAATGCATTGTGAAGTATGCGCCTAGTTGACGCAGCACTAGTGTTAAACAAATCGAAGTTAAACTCATTGGCTAGCTTATTGAAATTATTGCTCGCTCGCCATATAAATGTATTTTGCCTATAATTTGTAGATGAAAACGGGAGACTTAAAATTTTGTTGTATCTAAGAGGTTTGGCAGGACAGCTAACATGTAGTTGAGATAAAAGCTCAGGACAGTCAATAGCACCACAAGCTATTTTTAACAGAAAAGTGAGGTCAGCGATCTCACGACGCATAGCAAGAGGAAGAAGGTGATGTTTTTTACAATAACTAATAAATTATCTGAGGTATAGCTATAGTCATTGGTTCTATAACAGAGGTAACGCATAAACTTACTTTGGATATTTTCAAGTCGGGTAATATATGTTGCATACCTGGGGTTCCAGATGCGTACTCCAAATTAATTCTTACAATAGAACAATATAGGATCTTAAGAGTTTTAGTTTTAGTGAAGTCCCTAGAGCTACGCATCAAAAATCCAAGAGCTTTCGTAGATTTGGTTATAATGCTTCCTAAGTTAACGTCAAATATCAATTTGGAATCATGAAGAACACCGAGATCTCTAACAATGGAATCCCTTTTAAGATTTTCACCTTTCAATTTATAGTTAAAGACAATCGGTTTATATTTGCGACTATAGGACATAAAGCTACATTTCGAAGGGTTCAAATCTAAGAAGTTGAATAACGCTCTAGATTTGTTAGATCTTCTTATAGAGCCTCAGCATCCTCGATTGATATTATTTTCAGAAATAGCTTCATATCATCGGCAAAACATAATAAGTGAGCTTTCTTCAGGTAATACGTAATGTCATTAATAAAAATAACAAATAATAACGGACCCAGCAGTGAGCCCTGTGGCACCCCACTTGGAATAGTTACCCATCCTGATATGTAGTTGCTAACGACAACAGCTTGTGATCGATTATTTATATAAGACGTAAACTACCGAAGCAGATCGCTGTTTATACCGATCTGGGACAGTTTCAGCAATTGCAAATTATGATGTATTCTGTCAAAGGCTTTACTATAATCGGTGTAAATGACATCTACCTGGTGGCGATTGTCCATTGCCTCAGTCAAATATGCATTATAGAGCGCAAGATTTGAAACAGTAGAGCGTCCTCTTAAAAAACCATGTTCAGTCGTATTGAATGAATGCTTTAGGGCCGCGTATAATTGATTATATATAATTCGTTCGAACACTTTAGATACAATACATAACTTGGAAATCGGTCGATAATTAGTAACTTCGGTCTTGGAACCCTTTTTTATGTACAGGTGTGATAAATGCACGCTTCCAGATGGTAGGAACAATATCTGTACTAAGGGACTTTTTAAACAAAATAGTTAAGGGAACACAAATTGTATGCGCACAGTTAATAAGAAAGTGAGCTGGAATGTTATCGGGACCAGCAGATTTCGTTGGATCCAACGTTTTAAGCTGGTTTTTGACTGTATTTTCGTTTATATCAATTGAGGTGATTCGACACTGACTGGGCAACACTAGAGAATCATTATAATTATTTTTAGACAGCTGAGTATTACTATCACCCGAAACCAAAAAATTTGAACGAAAGTAGTTTGAAAAAGCATTACAGATAAGTTCGCCAGAGTTAATTACAGAACGTTCAAATTTGAGACAACAAGGTATTGAATATGATTTTGATTTTTGTTTAATATACGACCAGAAGTGTTTCGGATTTGCACTAATCGAATTTTCCACAGAGTTTATGTAAGATTGGTTTGCTAACTTTTCTAATTCCCTTACACGCTCCCGCAATAGCTTAAAAGTTTCATTGTCATGCCTACAGCCATAGATCCTAAATTTACGTAAAAATTTATGTTTTTCTTTAATAGCTTTTTTAAGTGGCGTTGTATACCATTTCGGATAAGTGTCGGCAAGAATTAATTTTGAGGGGATGTATTTGTCTCTAGGACGTGAGTGTGCTATAAAAGTATTGAACAGATTCATCTAAGGATAACGGAGACATAACTTCACCCCATTGGATATTGGCAATCTCACCATTTAATGAATAATAGTCACCTTTATGATATAAGAACTTAAGGCGAGAATTGCTATTTTAATGAGTCACAATCAACGTTATCAAAAGATATTAAAAGGGCACCATGATAAGGATCAACAGGAATAAGAGAATCCCCACTTAAATCACGAACGGTTACAGCGTCGCTAGAAAAAACAAGGTCAAGGATCCTGCCATGGGCATTTTTTATACCATTAAATTGTCTCATATTTAGCGAGCTTAATTCATTTATTAATAAAATTTCATTTCCCGAACGAATATTTGTACCTAAAAATGAACCGTCGGCGGCGTCGATGTCCGGCACCCATATAATATCACTAATATTAAAGTCGCCAACTAATAAAAAGCTATCGTCCGAGTGACTCATGACAACTTACCGAGTGCAAATAATTTTGAAGTTGAGCAGTAAAACTGAGACCCCGATTTTCGTTACACAAATATAAGATACAAATATGCAAGTTCTTATGTTTTTTACGAGTAATATGGTGAATAGACAACGTTAACCATAGGTCCTCGGCACTTGAATGAAAGGAAGGCTGCGGGATAGCTTCTAGATCTTTACGCGTCGCAATCGAAACACCACCACCGTATTTCTGACCAGTAACTGTGTAATTCATATCACGCCGCCATACAACGTATCGATTATCAAATAATTCCGTATCACTAATTCTGTCCAGGAGCCATGTCTCCGTAATTAATATTATATCATAATCACATAAAAGAATATTACGATAAAATATGTCGGTTTTAGTGCGCAAGCCTCTTGCGTTCTGATAATATATTCTTAGGTTGTCACTGCCACACCCTACACGCACACTATTATTATGTAGCATAGCCATTTTTAAGCCTATCAATAACCAAGATAATTTTACAACAATAAAGGAATATACGTACATCTCCCGTCATATTTCAAAAACCCGTTAATAAAATTAGAAAACAATATACCAATATTTAAAAATTCACTAAGACTATAATAAGTTAGCGTATAATATTTACAAACGGGTAGAAAAAATAAAACTGTATCATCTAATGAGTGCAAAATATGATGCATACTTAAGCGACCGTCAACAGAAGCAAACAACTGATAACAGAGAGGCAATTTTAAACAAATAGCGATGCGTCAACGAAGCTGGTACGGCAGGGGTAACAAGCATTTTGTAACTTTTTAAAAACAGCTTCGTAATTCCATAAAAGCAAAAGTTAATTATACAGAGGTAAGAATTGTTAATAAAATTAAAAGAAGTAATGTAAATAGACATTAATAAACAATAGATTAAGCTATTTTGGTTAAATCAGCCTCTTTAGTAATAATTAAAACCGGCGAAGTATCATTTTTACGAACATGAATTTTTCCGTATTTGACCCAGATATAAGAATAACCTCGGTCTTTTGCTAAGGTCCTTGTTTTGGTAAGAAGTTTTTTGTGCTCTGGAGTCAAATGATCATTTACGAAAAAGCGTTGACGATTGCCTCCAAATCCAACATCCTTCGCCTCTAGAGTTTTGCAGGCGCGTGCAGCTGCTACAAATTCTTCTTTGACATAACGATTTATGAAATTGATAATGATGGCCTTCTCTTTGGTATTAAACATTGGTACTCGGGATATGTAATTGATTTGAGATTTTTGGAATTCATACCCAACTGCTTTACCCAAAGACTCCGCAATTACAAATAGGTTTTCATTGGGTTTTAGGTGGATGCCCTTTTATCTCAACATTACTCAGCCGTGACCATTGTTCCTTGGTCTCAATAACACTTTTAAGATTAGCTATTTCCTTGTTGGCCACAGCGAGAGAATTTTGAATCTTTTCAATCTGAGATACACCACGTTCCAAACTGGAGACTTGATCTTGAAAAGATTTAAGTGAACTACTGTTGTACTCACAAGACTCCTTCAGATGGATTAATTCAACTTTAATAGATTTGATGTCTTCGATAAGAGTTGGAACTGTTGTGACCAGCTTCTTCATCTCACGAATCTCCTTAAGAATAACATCCAAGGTCGCCGACTCCCCACCAGAATTGTCACCAGGGGTGGCTTCAGAACTTGGACGGGAGGGGCTGAAGGAAACCTTTTTGCACTGAAGACATTTCCATTGTGCTCTTCGATCTGCTCCTAAGTTCCGAAAACCTCGCTCCGTTATACCAGCACAACCAAAGTCGTAGTGTTTTTACAAACGTAACATTGCGCTCCATCATTGAACTCATTTGAACATGATTCACAAATATTCATCGTTGAAGTAACAGTATCAATGACTACAGTTACGAAAAAAAAGGTTTGTGATATATGTTGTATGTCGTATGACGTAGATAGTAGATACGTAAACAAGAGTGCAAACGTTTAGCTATACGCGTGCGTTTGTGTCGTGCGCTCACTGCTCACTGGTGCATATGCAAATTGTGCAGTAAACTGCATATGTGGATGCTGTCGTCAATATTCCATTTGTGGTTGATTCAGACGATGACGGAATAGTCCCCCACGAACTAGAGAAAATGAGGAGCATATTGGAAGAGTCGATGCTGGAAACGCGCAGCATGCCTCTCGACCGAAAATCGACCGAGACTTCCCCGCATACCCTTTAACAAGAGAAATCGGGCTGTCGTGCGGGCTCTTAACCCAATGCTGGTGACCTATTTGGAAGCCAGCCGGGACCTTTGCCAGACGGACTCAATTCTTTTGGCGCTGCACTGGCAGTATGCCGTATTATTGGCGCCAAACTTCCCATGGCTGGACGTGCTACTCGACAAAGTAGCGCCATCCCAGCCTGGAAAAAGAGAATTGAGGACCTTATCGCAAAGGCAAGGGCCCTTATCGGCAGACTGACAAGCTTCAGGTCGGGTAATAATAGACCGAGAGTTGTGCGCACCGTTAGAATGGCGTTTGCGGGGACAAATATTAGTTTGTCCCAGCCGGATATCACGCAGAAACTAACGGAGCGCATAGATGGCCTGAAGCAAAAAATCGCTGCTGGGGAAAAGGATTCGACGATTTAGCGAGAGGTGAAGGCGGTTCAACCCGAATCGTCTCTTCCAGAGTGATCAGAAGAGGCTCTATAAATCATTGGAGTGACTAGAGGTATGTGGAGCGGGCCCAGGACTGGATCAGGCTGACACTGTCGCATTTTGGCGTGGCCTGTGGTCAGAGCTCGTAAACCACAACGAGAGTCCTTGGATGGAAGTTGTGGCGAGCCAGAGTGCGAGTGTTACGCCTATGGACCCCGTCATCATAACGCATGAAGACGTGGCTGAGCCGGACCGTAGGGCCCCAAATTGGAAAAGTCCGGGGCTCCACGAGCTGCATCATTACAAGCTGAAGGGGTTCGTAGTGTGTCACGCTGTGCTCGCCCGACAGTTCCAAGAGGCTCTCAACCAGAAGTCGCTCCCGAGCCTCTTCACTACTGGGATCACTCTTCCTAAAGATCAGGATACCACAGATCCGAGCAAATACCGTCCCATTACGTGTCTACCCACCATATATAAGACACTGACATCCATTTTGAGCGCGAGGATCACTCCTCACCTGGAGCTAAATCAGGTGATGTCACGCGCTCAAAATGGGTATCAGGGCCGGGTCGTGGAACCATGGAACCATTCCTCATTGACGCGGTTATTACCAAGGTGGTTAAACGCAACCGTCAGCAATTCTCCGCCGCCTGGCTAGGCTACAGAAAGGCATTCGACTTGGTGCCCCATACATGGCTAAAGAGTGTCCTTGGGCTGTACAAGGTTGACTGTATAGTTAGATACTTCCTCTAGCAGTGTATGGGGCAGTGGAGTACGTTCCTTTTTTATCTGGGCGAACGGATGATGGCTGCAGAGAACCACATAAGGATAAGAAGGGGCATCTATCAGGGCGATTGTCTGAGTCCAATCTGGTTCTGCCTCTCTCTGAACCCTCTCAGTACCTTACTGGAGGGCTCCGGGAGAGGATTTCGGCTACGGTATGGAGGGACAAAAGTGACCCACCTTTTCTATATGGATGACCTCAAGTAATTCGCCACCAGCCGCTCCCATCTTATGACATTGCTAAACATCACTTGTGAATTTAGCAATTCTATTGGAATGGATCTGGGGACGGATAAGTGTGCGGTCCTCCATGTTGAGAGAGGAAAGGTTGCTAACTCTGAGGGCATAGACCCGTCAACTTAAGGAAAGAAGAAGAAGAAACATACCGATACCTGCGTATGTCACAGAACATCGGTATCGATGAGGCTGGTATGAAACAGTCAGTTTGCGACGTGTTTTATGCACGCTTGACCAAAGTGCTTAAGTACCTTTTGTCCGGTATGAATAAGACCCACGCATATAATGGTTGGGTCATGCCTGTCCTCATGTATACCTTTGGCATACGCAGGTAGACTCAGACTGAACTTAACGCCCTGGATAGAAAAGTCCGCACTACCATGACGTCCCATAGGATGCATCATCCGAGATCGTCGGTGATGAGGCTGTACTTGCCGTGAAAGCATGGTGGGCGTGGCTTTCTGAGCGCGCTCACCATGCATAATCGCTACGTGTGCAGCCTCCGTCATTACTTCCTAGGAAGATTGGATAATCCATTCTTTAATGACGTCATTTATAGTGATAAAAGGCTTACATCTCTATCCTTAGCCAACAAGCAATAGCAGGACCCAGCAGTGCTTAGCATTTCCGACCGGGAGACCGTATGGAAAGAGAAGGAGCTCCACGGGAGATACTACAGGGCTCTACATGAGCCCTTCGTAGATACAGTCGCCTCCCTCAGCTGGCTACGTTTCGGTGACCTCTTCGAGGAAACCGAAGGTTTTGTCTGTGAAATACAGGATCAGGTTATTAAGACCAACAAATATCGGAGATACATCCTAAAGGATGGCACCGTCGACGTCTGTCGAGCTTGTCGCTATCCCGGTAGGTCACTTAGGCATTTCATCTCCGGTTGTTCGGCGCTTTCTAACTCTGAGTAGTGCAAGTACTCAAGTAGGCACTACCTAGTAGCCAGAATTCTACACCAGGAGCTCGCTCTGAAATACAGTCTCGTGGACCGGAAATTGCCATATTACAAGTACCTGCCGGAAGCCGTGCTCGAAAACGACCGCGCCAGGCAGTAGTTACGTTGTACCAGTTCTGGCGCACTTGTAGAAAGGTTGTACCAGTTCTGGCGCACGACGTTCGTCGACTCACAATCCAAAAAAAAAAAAAAAAAAAAGGTTTTGGCATGCTCTGATCACGAATCTGCGGTCCATTTTTGCGTAGGATGCACGGTTCCGGAGATGTGCAGATCAATTAACTCTTATCTAATTGATATCCGCTGCGAGCCTCAACCGTCATTAGCGCTCCATTGTCCTTATCTACTTATCTATTGTTGAATAACTACCGTCATTATCTATTATTCGTCCAGCGTGTGGGTCGGCTTATGCTATTGTATTATACTCCTTTGTTCCTATCTACAACACTAATCTGAATCATCAATAAAACACATTACCTAATTTTGTTAAAATTTTTATTTATGAAATACAAAATCTTATTACTTATTATCTATAAAATAGGAGCGAAACATCTCATCCACTAAAATATCGTTGTACAATGTGTTCTCTGTGTATAAATATACTCGTAAAACTATGCATTGAACATCCCTGAAACTTATATAGCAAATACATTAAGCAATATTCGCCACAAACTGAAGTCCACTCATTCTGAATCCTATCAACATTCCAGTTCCATCTTTTACAATTTCTTTTAAAAAACTCTAGATGATATCGTACAGGTGCCCGTCCGAATGAATCAAAATATTGACCGACGTCATTCGTATCGATATATAAAGATACCCAATGTGACCCTGGTTTATCATCTGTATCCAAATTGCATATTATATACGTTGGTACGTGGGTGTACATGGGCAGTTTATTGGCAGCATAAACATTATTTTCTAGAGTGGGGTGAATCTTTTTCAGATGTTGTTGTACATCTAGTGTATCCATGATATTACTGCTATTAGTAGATTATTACAGTACCAATCTACTCAATGACTAATATAGGAATGATCAATTATAGTGATATCTAAATATTAAATTGCTTTCTTTGTGTTATACAAAACGTATTTGAGTCACCAATACACTGAACAAGACATGACAGGAAGGACGTAGGAATGTAGAGATAACCAACAGAATGTAAGGTAAGCTTGTTGACGCATAAAGATACTATCAATTCTACTGCAGAAATTCTTTAGATTAGAATTATTACTCACTGGTACTATATAAGACCAAGCAACTGCAGTCATGGAGTTAGTGTATGGTCGTTTGACCGCAGTGGATCTATCAATACTACGTTTGTGTTACTTCAACGCATCAAAGGCCATGGATGTAAGTGTTTATTCTATTGACAAACTTACTTTTCTTTCTGTTATTTTCTTACGTGTGTATGATTTAGTGTTAACAAATTATATTTAAATATTATGTGTGTGTATATGGTTAAGCCGTGGTAGCTCAGATGGTTAGCGCAAAATGTAAATTTCATAGTACACGTCCCGGGTTCGATCCCCGCCGGCACCAATTAAATTGTTAATTACAATTTTAAGTGCTGATTTACCACGTGCTCAGCGGTGAAGGAAAACATCGTGAGGAATGCATGTCTGAGAAAATTTCGAAGGCATGTGAAGTTTGCCAACACGCATTGAGGTATCGCAGCGAACATTTCCTAGCCCTAAAACCCTCTCAGAAATGAGAGGAGGCCTATGTTCAGCAGTGGACTTTAATAGGTTGTAACTTTAGCTTTTTTAACTTTTATGATTAAGTGTTAACAAATTGATATTAACATGATAACTGTGTTGTTGCAGAAATCATTGAGCTTCGATGAAAATACCTATAAACAGTATTACTACTCGCCACTCTCCCCTCAAGAAGAGAGTGATGACATCGTCATTAATAATAACACATGCGATGGTGGAAAAAGAAAATCGCAATCTATTGATCATTTTTTTGAAGCTGAATCAAAAATAAAAAAGAGGAAGCTGTTATCATCAACCGTAGCACGAGCCGCTAGAGATGGTGTATCATACATTTCTACTAATTCTGACGACGGAGACCAAGCGACGCATCTCATCAAAATTGAAATGTACGATATGAAGAAGCTATCCAAGATTCCAACTACTGATCATTGGAAACATGCTTCCACGAGGATTAAATATTACGTAAAGACTAATACGGATAGCATCTACGACAACACAAACGCCCTCGTATACAATATTACAAAGACAATAGCAGAAAGTGAAAAAGTTAAAAAATACTTTTTTAACAATGACAGTCATTAGCTGATCATTAGTGAATGTGATTCTGTTTACTTAAATTACTTCCGTGTACTCATTATATTCTATTTCTAATCCTTTGTTAGACTTAAATATCGGACATTATTTGAAATTTGGGTATCAGTTGGTCTACCAACACTGAACTGTTACTTACTCTGCTACCTATTTTCTTCTTTACTATAAGGATGGCAAACTTCAGTGCAGTGTGCACCAGTGCTTTCTTCTCCACAACCATGGAAGAGAATACGGAACTATTCAACAGCGAATTAAATCAGGAGTTGTCTAAAGTTTGTGATGAAATGGAGAAGGATCAACTGTTCGATTCATCGTATGATGATGAGTTGTATAATCACTGTGCGATGGTTGAAACACAGTTTAAGTAAGTAAAATAAACATTCATTTCGATCATAATTTACACAATGTCTTGTACAGTTTTTAATAAATTTA